AGCTGTCCAGAATCTCAGTGAGAAGATCTACAACCAAACACCACAGAAGTCGCAGGTCCAGGTCAGGACCCTGATAGTCACACTTGTGCTGAATGCTGAAAGCCCTAAACGTTCAACTATTGGACGAATGTCTGAACAGCCAGTGTCCAGTCTGAACTTACCTCGAACACTAAGCTCATCCCTAATCCTTAGATAAGGCAAGTGTCAAGCTAAGGATCTTCCTTCTTGGTCAAATGGCTTTTAAGCTCCAGTTCTACACAGTTGCCATCTAGGACCCTCCCTAAGATGAACAGTTTGAATTGATTTTCTAGGAATTTGTGGAACCAGTATATCAACAGATATTCATCTCTGTTATTTTGGAACACCTCACCAGCCTGACTGAGAGCCAGAATCTCAAATACCTTGCTGTAGAGCAGGGGTATCAAACTCCATTTCATTGCGGGACGTATCAGGATTATGGTTGCCCTCAAAGGGTTGGTTGTTTCTGTAAGACTAGATGTCCAAAGTACCCCCCCCCCCCTTACATCGGATGTCAAGAATTCCACACCCTCCCTAACATCACCGTGCACCCCCTCTGAGGGCAGAGCTGGAAAGCAGAAAATGCAGGATCTGGAGGAGGACCAGAGGAGGAGTGGAGTCAGTTACTAGAGTCTTCTGAATGCTGAGACCAGGGGAGGCAGAGATAAGGGGGTGCTGCAGCTGCACTGAGAGGTGCAGGATTTGGCAGAGGAGTTCTATTCTCCTTTCTGCTGCTGACTGCTGAGACAAGGTGGGGGCGGAGACCAGGGGGTACCTGCAGGAGAGGTGCAAAAACCACATGAAATGGCCTGGAGGGCCAGATTCGGCCCGCAGGCCTTGTGTTTGACACCTGTGCATGGAGGATAACTGTATTTCCAAACTGCACAACAAGGCATTCCAAGGATTGAGGGGAACAACAATCTGTTTCAAAGATATCTTTCTGCAAAGTATTTTTAGTAACTGAACCTGTTATTATATAAAGAGCCTAACATTAACATATAAGCATTTAATCATGTCATTTAATCATGTCATTTAATCATCAGTAGAACATTTAATTATATATATTATTCTTTATTACAGGTAATACCACAAAATTTTCAAAGTCTTCTCTGTCCAGTGGCGGCATCATTTTGAGGAGGAGGAATTAACATGTTTGGGCTAATTAGCAGCTACAAAAATTAATGACACAGAAGTAATTGCTGATCAAACCCTCGCCTGGCCAGCCTTTGTGATTACGGCGAATGCAGCGGCTCGGAAAATTAGACAGCGAGGTGAAAAGTGATGAGCATCTTCCTTCGTCAGGCGGGGTAAACGCGGAATGATGAGATGCTGGAAGTGGAGAAATATATTTAACATGATCTATTTCAGACACTGCCAGGGGGGAGGTGGTGCCGCTGCAACAAGTCTGTCACTAACAATTTACAGCATCACCTAAAACAAAAAAAGATGCTTCGTATGGAAATGCTCTAATGAGATTTTTCAATGTGTATGCAAATGATCCTGTATTTTGCAGGAATTGGGATATCCAACGATTACAAACCACATAGCTTGATGATAAAAGAAAATGTATGCTAGTTGAGATTGTTTCCTCCTATTTAATGTTAACTAAGACTACAATCCATTTATCTTAATGATGGTTTTGAAAAGTCAACAGCCTTTTATACAATTGCAGCTTGTTTGCACAATAGTATTTACTGTACCTTTATTATAACAGAACACAATAACTACTTCGCTTCTAAGGCTCCCATGTACATGAAAACACAGAGCCCTGATCTCAACCCTACTGAACACAGAGCCCTGACCTCAACCCTACCGAACACAGAGCCCTGACCTCAAACCTACTGAACACAGAGCCCTGACCTCAACCCTACTGAACACAGAGCCCAGACCTCAACCCTACTGAACACAAAGCCCTGACCTCAACCCTACCGTACACAGAGCCCTGACCTCAACCCTACCGAACACAGAGCCCTGATCTCAACCCTACCGAACACAGAGCCCTGACCTCAACCCTACTGAACACAGAGCCCTGACCTCAACTCTACCGAACACAGAGCCCTGACCTCAACCCTACTGAATACAGAGCCCTGACCTCAACCCTACCAAACACAGAGCCCTGACCTCAACCCTACTGAACACAGAACACTGACCTCAACCCCACTGAACACAGAGGTCTGACCTCAACCCTACTGAACACAGAACACTGACCTCAACCCTACTGAACACAGAACACTGACCTCAACCCTACTGAACACAGAGGTCTGACATCAACCCTAATGAACACAGAACACTGACCTCAACCCTACTGAACACAGAGCCCTGACCTCAACTCTACTGAACACAGAGTCCTGACCTCAACCCTACTGAGCATATAGCCCTGACCTCAACTTTACTAATCACAGGGCCCTGACTTCAACCCTACTGAACACAGAGCCCTGACCTCAACCGTACTGAACACAGAGCCCTGCCCTCAACCCTACTGAACACAGAGCCCTGACCTCAACCCTACCGAACACAGAGCCCTGACCCTAAACCTACTGAACACAGAGCCTTGATCTCAACCCTACTGAACTCAGAGCCCTGACCTCAACCCTACCGAACACAGAGCTCTGACCTCAACCCTACTGAACACAGAGCCCTGACCTCAACCCTACTGAACACAGAGCTCTGACCTCAACCCTACTGAACACAGAGACCTGACCTCAACCCTATTGAACACAGAGACCTGACCTCAACCCTACTGAACTCAGAGCCCTGACCTCAACCCTACTGAACACAGAGCTCTGACCTCAACCCTACTGAACACAGAGCCCTGACCTCAACCCTACTGAACACAGATCTCTGACCTCAACCCTACTGAACACAGAGACCTGACCTCAACCCTATTGAACACAGAGACCTGACCTCAACCCTATTGAACACAGAGCCCTGACCTCAACCCTACTGAACAAAGAACACTGACCTCAACCCCACTGAACACAGAGCCCTGACCTCAATCCTACTGAACACAGAGCCCTGATCTCAACTCTGCTGAACACAGAGCCCTGACCTCAACCCTACTGAACACAGAGCCCTGACCTCAACCCTACTGAACACAGAGCCCTGACCTCAACCCTATTGAACACAGAGCCCTGACCTCAACCCTACCAAATACAGAGCCCTGCCCTCAACCCTACTGAACACAGAGCCCTGACCTCAACCCTACCGAACACAGAGCCCTGACCCTAAACCTACTGAACACAGAGCCTTGATCTCAACCCTACTGAACTCAGAGCCCTGACCTCAACCCTACCGAACACAGAGCTCTGACCTCAACCCTACTGAACACAGAGCCCTGACCTCAACCCTACTGAACACAGAGCTCTGACCTCAACCCTACTGAACACAGAGACCTGACCTCAACCCTATTAAACACAGAGACCTGACCTCAACCCTACTGAACTCAGAGCCCTGACCTCAACCCTACTGAACACAGAGCTCTGACCTCAACCCTACTGAACACAGAGCCCTGACCTCAACCCTACTGAACACAGATCTCTGACCTCAACCCTACTGAACACAGAGACCTGACCTCAACCCTATTGAACACAGAGACCTGACCTCAACCCTATTGAACACAGAGCCCTGACCTCAACCCTACTGAACAAAGAACACTGACCTCAACCCCACTGAACACAGAGCCCTGACCTCATTCCTACTGAATAGAGATGAGCGAAGTATTCAAAAATTCGATTCGACTGATTCGGCGAATTCGTAGAAAAATTTCGATTCGAGTCGAATATATTCGCTGTGAATTTAACTTAAAAAAGGGTGTTTCTAGGCTTCAGAGAGACTTAATATTAGTGCTGAACACTGTACCTTTAATTTAAATGCCCTTGGAGTCTGCTGGGGAAGAGAAATAATACTGTCAGGCAGTATGACATGCAGATGAGTGCCGTCGATCTTAGAATCACCGCACACTTCACTCATTTGGCCAGTCACGGGGCCAAAACCAGAGTGTGGAGCCACAGTGTGGCGGTGGAGGCAGCAGCAATGGGAGGCCATGCAGCACCCTATGACAAAAATGGAAACCACCAGCAGTGTGAGGAGACCTGAAAGTGGCACATGGCAGAGTGTGGCGATAGAGACAGCAGCAATGGGAGGCCGTACAGGGACCCATGACACACTCTGGACCTGGCAGCAGCATGAGGAGGCGGTACAGGGGCCCATGGCAGATTACGGGCCTGGCAGCAGCATGAGGAGTCGGTAGGGGGGCCCATGGCAGATTACAGGCCTGGCAGCAGCAATGGGAGGCCGTACAGGGACCCATGACACAATCTGGACCTGGCAGCAGCATGGGGAGGCGGTACAGGGGCCCATGACAGATTACGGGCCTGGCAGCAGCATTTGGAGTCGGTACGGGGGCCCATGACACACTCTGGACCTGGCAGCAGCATGAGGAGGCGGTACAGGGGCGCATGACAGATTACGAGCCTGGCAGCAGCAACTTGGACAGGAGGACGTTCAGTTTCTGCACCGTCTGGTGCGTGCTCGCAAACTGTTGTCTCTTGGAAACGGATTCCAAGAAAGACTGCTGACGGAATCCGTGAAGAGGAGTAGCAGGAGAAGGAGCATCTGAACGAGCGGAATATGCCAACAAGCGACAACAGGGGCCCATGACAGATTACGGGCCTGGCAGCAGCAGCATGAGGAGTCGGTACGGGGGCCCATGGCAGATTAGGGGCCTGGCAGCAGCTATGGGAGGCCCGTAATCTGCCAGCACCCTATGACAAAAAATGGAACCCACCAGCAGTGTGAGGAGACCTGAAAGTGGCACATGGCAGAGTGTGGCGATGGAGACACAGCAGCAATGGGAGGCCGTACAGGGACCCATGACAGACTCTGGACCTGGCAGCAGCATGAGGAGGCGGTATAGGGGCCCATGGCAGATTAGGGGCCTGGCAGCAGCTATGGGAGGCCCGTAATCTGCCAGCACCCTATGACAAAAAATGGAATACACCAGCAGTGTGAGGAGACCTGAAAGTGGCACATGGCAGAGTGTGGCGATGGAGACAGCAGCAATGGGAGGCCGTACAGGGACCCATGAGAGACTCTGGACTTGGCAGCAGCATGAGGAGGCGGTATAGGGGCCCATGGCAGATTAGGGGCCTGGCAGCAGCTATGGGAGGCCCGTAATCTGCCAGCACCCTATGACAAAAAATGGAACACACCAGCAGTGTGAGGAGACCTGAAAGTGGCACATGTTTGGGGCATGATTCATGGCGGATTTAGTCAGTTGTGTCAGGAACTGGTGGTTTGAAATCCAGACTAATCCACGCCTGATTCATTTTCACAAACGTCAGTCTCTCCACACTTTGGGTGGACAGTGGACAGTCGTGTCCTCCGCGGAGTTGCAATACCTCCTGCCGCACTAAAACACGCGCTCCGATGCCACGCTACTGGCCGGGCATGACAGCCTTTCAAGGGCAAATTCAGCTAGTTGGGGCCAAAGGTCAAGTTTCGTTGCCCAGTAGTCAAGGGGATTGTCTACCTCGGTTGGCAGGGTGCTGTCCAAGTAGGCCTAAGCCTGTTGTTTGAGGTCCTGCTCCAGGTCCACCTGATGCTGCTGCTGCTGCTGCTGCTGCGCTGGTTAGTAGTTTCCTCACTGCGCTGGTGAAGAAAGCTACTCATCATCGACTGCAGACTGAGGCAGCCGCTGCTGGTGGAGCTGCCACTGCTCCTACCACCCCACCCCTCCCCTGCTGCCATGGCAGCGGAACGCGAGCGCACAGGGCCCACAGTGTCTGAGGATGGACGTTGGCGCAGACAGGCAGAGACCAGCTGACTACATAGGTGGTTTTTATAGTACGTTATTTTGGCCTCCCTCTCAGCAGGTGTGAAAAAGGCCACCATTTTTGAAACGGTAGCGAGGGTCCAACAAGGTGGACAGCCAAAAGTCATCCCTCTGTCTGATGGTTATTATTCGGCTGTCGCTACGCAAGCAAAGCGAGCATGCTATGGGCCATTTGTGCCAAGGAATGCGAGGGACTCCCTGCCTCCATCTCCACAGCATACTGCCACGGTGCGTCTGGGTCCTCTGTCTCCTCCTCCTCCTCCTCCTCCTACCAGATGCTCCTGCTCCTCCACTCCTGTCCGCTGAGTGGAAAAAACCACCCATTTCACTCAATAATTCCTGAGCACCAATGTCCTCCTCTACCTCCTCCTCTTCTTCCTGTCCTGCCCCCACAGGGGTCATGTGGCGTTGAGATCTGTGCGCCACGTCTACCGCACCCTGACCAGCCATTGTTAACAGCATTTGTTCCAGGACGTGCAACAGAGGAATGACGTCGTTCATCCCCATAGTCCTGCCGACTCACGAATAGCGTGGCCTCCTCAAAGGGCCTGAGCAAGCGCAGGTGTCACGCATGAGCTGCCAATGGCTGACATCTAAGTTACACAGGGAGTACCTTTATCCGCTTTTAACATCAGGAAATCTGTGATGGCCTTTTGCTGTTCGTAAAGGCGGTCTAACATATGTAGGGTTGAATTCCACCTTGTTGCAACGTCACAGCATGAGGAGTCGGTATAGGGGCCCATGGCAGATTAGGGGCCTGGCAGCAGCTATGGGAGGCCCGTAATAATCTGCCAGCACCCTATGTCAAAAAATTCTACACACCAGCAGTGTGTGAGGAGACCTGAAAGTGGCACATGGCAGAGTGTGGCGATGGAGAGACAGCAGCAATGGGAGGCCGTACAGGGACCCATGACAGACTCTGGACCTGGCAGCAGCATGAGGAGAGGAGGCGGTATATAGGGGCCCATGGCAGATTAGGGGCCTGGCAGCAGCTATGGGAGAGGCCCGTAATCTGCCAGCACCCTATGTCAAAAAAAATTCTACACACCAGCAGTGTGTGAGGAGACCTGAAAGTGGCACATGGCAGAGTGTGGCGATGGAGACAGCAGCAATGGGAGGGCCGTACAGGGACCCATGACAGACTCTACTCTGGACCTTGGCAGCAGCATGAGGAGGCGGTATATAGGGGCCCATGGCAGATTAGGGGCCTGGCAGCAGCATGGGGAGGCCCTATAATCTGCCAGCACCCTATGTCAAAAAATTCAACACACCAGCAGCTGTGTGAGGAGACCTGAAAGTGGCACATGGCAGAGTGTGGCAATGGAGACAGCAGCAATGGGAGGCCGTACAGGGACCCATGACAGACTCTGGACCTGGCAGCAGCAGCATGAGGAAGGCGGTATATAGGGGCCCATGGCAGATTAGGGGCCTGGCAGCAGCTATGGGAGGCCCGTAATCTGCCAGCACCCTATGTCAAAAAATTCTACACACCAGCAGTGTGTGAGGAGACCTGAAAGTGGCACATGGCAGAGTGTGTGGCGATGGAGACAGCAGCAGCAATGGGAGGCCGTACAGGGGACCCATGACAGACTCTGGACCTGGCAGCAGCATGAGGAGGCGGTATATAGGGGCCCATGGCAGATTTAGGGGCCTGGCAGCAGCTATGGGAGGCCCCGTTAATCTGCCAGCACCCTATGTCAAAAAATTCTACACACCAGCAGTGTGTGAGGAGACCTGAAAGTGGCACATGGCAGGCAGAGTGTGGCGATGGAGAGACAGCAGCAATGGGAGGCCGTACAGGGACCCATGACAGACTCTGGACCTGGCAGCAGCATGAGGAGGCGGTATATAGGGGCCTATGGCAGATTAGGGGCCTGGCAGCAGCTATGGGAGGCCCGTAATCTGCCAGCACCCTATGTCAAAAAATTCTACACACCAGCAGTGTGAGGAGACCTGAAAGTGGCACATGGCAGAGTGTGGCGATGGAGACAGCAGCAATGGGACTACAGGGACCCATGAGAGACTCTGGCACCTGGCAGCAGCATGAGGAGGCGGTATATAGGGCCCATGGCAGATTAGGGGCCTGGCAGCAGCTATGGGAGGCCCTTAATCTGCCAGCACCCTATGTCAAAAAATTCAACACACCAGCAGTGTGTGAGGAGACCTGAAAGTGGCACATGGCAGAGTGTGGCGATGGAGACAGCAGCAATGGGAGGCCGTACAGGGACCCATGAGAGACTCTGGACTGGGCAGCAGCATGAGGAGGCGGTATATAGGGGCCCATGGCAGATTAGGGGCCTGGCAGCAGCTATGGGAGGCCCGTAATCTGCCAGCACCCTATGTCAAAAAAAATTCTACACACCAGCAGTGTGTGAGGAGACCTGAAAGTGGCACATGGCATGAGAGGAGACAGCAGCAATGGGAGGCCGTACAGGGACCCATGAGAGACTCTGGACCTGGCAGCAGCATGAGGAGCGGTATATAGGGGCCCATGGCAGATTAGGGGCCTGGCACTGGCAGCAGCTATGGGAGGCCCCCGTAATCTGCCAGCAGCACCCTATGTCAAAAAATTTACACACCAGCAGTGTGTGAGGAGACCTGAAAGTGGCACATGGCAGAGTGTGGCGATGGAGACAGCAGCAATGGGAGGCCGTACAGGGGGACCCATGACAGACTCTGGGCCTGGCAGCAGCATGAGGAGGCGGTATATAGGGGCCCATGGCAGATTAGGGGCCTGGCAGCAGCTATGGGAGGCCCGTAATCTGCCAGCACCCTATGTCAAAAAATTCTACACACACAGCAGTGTGTGAGGAGACCTGAAAGTGGCACATGGCAGAGTGTGTGGCGATGGAGACAGCAGCAATGGGAGGCCGTACAGGGACCCATGACAGAGACTCTGGACCTGGCAGCAGCATGATGAGGAGGCGGTATATAGGGGCCTATGGCAGATTAGGGGCCTGGCAGCAGCTATGGGAGGCCCGTAATCTGCCAGCACCCTATGTCAAAAAATTCTACACACCAGCAGTGTGTGAGGAGACCTGAAAGTGGCACATGGCACCTGCAGAGTGTGTGTGGCGATGGAGACAGCAGCAATGGGAGGCCGTACAGGGACCCATGACAGACTCTGGACCTGGCAGCAGCATGAGGGGCGCGGTATATAGGGGCCCATGGCAGATTAGGGGCCTGGCAGCAGCTATGGGAGGCCCGTAATCTGCCAGCACCCTATGTCAAAAAATTCTAACACACAGCAGTGTGTGAGGAGACCTGAAAGTGGCACATGGCAGAGTGTGGCGATGGAGACAGCAGCAATGGGAGGCCGTACAGGGGACCCATGACAGACTCTGGACCTGGCAGCAGCATGAGGAGGGCGGTATATATAGGGCCCATATGGCAGATTTAGGGGCCTGGCAGCAGCTATGGGAGGCCCGTAATCTGCCAGCAGCACCCTATGTCAAAAAATTCTACACACCAGCAGTGTGTGAGGAGACCTGAAAGTGGCACATGGCACATGGCATGAGAGACTCTGGGACCTGGCCATGAGAGAGCAGCAGCATGAGGGAGGCGGTATATAGGGGCCCATGGCAGATTAGGGGCCTGGCAGCAGCTATGGGAGGCCCGTAATCTGCCAGCACCCTATGTCAAAAAATTCTACACACACAGCAGTGTGTGAGGAGACCTGAAAGTGGCACATGGCAGAGTGTGGCGATGGAGACAGCAGCAATGGGAGGCCGTACAGGGACCCATGACAGACTGGACCTGGACCTGGCAGCATGAGGAGGCGGCGGTATATAGGGGCCCATGGCAGATTAGGGGCCTGGCAGCAGCTATATGGAGGCCCGTAATCTGCCAGCACCCTATGTCAAAAAAAATTCTACACACCAGCAGCAGTGTGTGAGGAGACCTGAAAGTGGCACATGGCAGAGTGTGGCGATGGAGACAGCAGCAATGGGAGGCCGTACAGGGACCCATGACAGACTCTGGACCTGGCAGCAGCAGCATGAGGAGGCGGTATATAGGGGCCCATGGCAGATTAGGGGCCTGGCAGCAGCTATGGGAGGCCCGTAATCTGCCAGCACCCTATGTCAAAAAATTCTACTACACACACCAGCAGTGTGTGAGGAGACCTGAAAGTGGCACATGGCAGAGTGTGGCGATGGAGACAGCAGCAATGGGAGGCCGTACAGGGACCCATGACAGACTCTGGACCTGGCAGCAGCATGAGGAGGCGGTATATAGGGGCCTATGGCAGATTAGGGGCCTGGCAGCAGCTATGGGAGGCCCGTAATCTGCCAGCACCCTATGTCAAAAAATTCTACACACCAGCAGTGTGTGAGGAGACCTGAAAGTGGCACATGGCAGAGTGGCGATGGAGACAGCAGCAATGGGAGGCCGTACAGGGACCCATGAGAGACTCTGGACCTGGGCAGCAGCATGAGGAGGCGGTATATAGGGGCCCATATGGCAGAGATTAGGGGCCCTGGCAGCAGCTATGGGAGGCCCGTAATCTGCCAGCACCCTATGTCAAAAAAAAATTCTACACACCAGCAGTGTGTGAGGAGACCTGAAAGTGGCACATGGCAGAGTGTGGCGATGGAGACAGCAGCAATGGGAGGCCGTACAGGGACCCATGAGAGACTCTGGACCTGGCTGGCAGCAGCAGATGAGGAGGCGGTATATAGGGGCCCATGGCAGATTAGGGGCCTGGCAGCAGCTATGGGAGGCCCTTAATCTGCCAGCACCCTATGTCAAAAAATTCTACACACCAGCAGTGTGTGAGGAGACCTGAAAGTGGCACATGGCAGAGTGTGGCGATGGAGACAGCAGCAATGGGAGGCCGTACAGGGACCCATGAGAGACTCTCTGGACCTGGCAGCAGCATGAGGAGGCGGCGGTATATAGGGGCCTATGGCAGATTAGGGGCCTGGCAGCAGCTATGGGAGGCCCGTAATCTGCCAGCACCCTATGTCAAAAAATTCTACACACCAGCAGTGTGTGAGGAGACCTGAAAGTGGCACATGGCAGAGTGTGGCGATGGAGACAGCAGCAATGGGAGGCCGCAGGGACCCATGACAGACTCTGGACCTGGCAGCAGCATGAGGAGGCGGTATATAGGGGGCCTATGGCAGATTAGGGGCCTGGCAGCAGCTATGGGAGGCCCGTAATCTGCCAGCACCCTATGTCAAAAAAATTCTACACACCAGCAGTGTGTGAGGAGACCTGAAAGTGGCACATGGCAGAGTGTGGCGATGGAGACAGCAGCAATGGGAGGCCGTACAGGGACCCATGACAGACTCTGGACCTGGCAGCAGCATGAGGAGGCGGGGGCGGTATAGGGGCCCATGGCAGATTAGGGGCCTGGCAGCAGCTATGGGAGGGCCCTTAATCTGCCAGCACCCTATGTCAAAAAATTCTACACACCAGCAGTGTGTGAGGAGACCTGAAAGTGGCACATGGCAGAGTGTGGCGATGGAGACAGCAGCAATGGGAGGCCGTACAGGGACCCATGACAGACTCTCTGGACCTGGCAGCAGCATGCAGAGGAGGCGGTATATAGGGGCCTATGGCAGATTAGGGGCCTGGCAGCAGCTATGGGAGGCCCCGTAATCTGCCAGCACCCTATGTCAAAAAATTCTAACCCAGCAGTGTGTGAGGAGACCTGAAAGTGGCACATGGCAGCAGTGGCGATGGAGACAGCTGCAAAGGGGGCACGTACAGGGGCCCATGAGAGACTCTGGACCTGGCAGCAGCATGAGGAGGCGGTATATAGGGGCCTATGGCAGATTAGGGGCCTGGCAGCAGCTATGGGAGGCCCATAATCTGCCAGCACCCTATGTCAAAAAATTCTAACACACCAGCAGTGTGTGAGGAGACCTGAAAGTGGCACATGGCAGAGTGTGGCGATGGAGACAGCAGCAATGGGAGGCCGTACAGGGACCCATGACAGACTCTGGACCTGGCAGCAGCATGAGGAGGCGGTATATAGGGGCCTATGGCAGATTAGGGGCCTGGCAGCAGCTATGGGAGGCCCGTAATCTGCAGCACCCTATGTCAAAAAATTCTACACACCAGCAGTGTGTGGGAGACCTCAAAGTGGCACATGTTTGAGGCATGATTCATGGCGGATTTAGTCAGTTGTGTCAGGAACTGGTGGTTTGAAATCCAGACTAATCCACGCCTGATTCATTTTCACAAACGTGAGTCTCTCCACACTTTGGGTGGACAGTCGTGTCCTCCGCGGAGTTACAATACCTCCTGCCGCACTAAACACACGCGCTCCGATGCCACGCTACTGGCTGGGGGATGACAGCCTTTCAAGGGCAAATTCAGCTAGTTGGGGCCAAAGGTCAAGTTTCGTTGCCCAGTAGTCAAGGGGATTGTCTACCTCGGTTGGCAGGGTGTGCTGTCCAAGTAGGCCCAAGCCTGTTGTTTGAGGTCCTGCTCCAGGTCCACCTGATGCTGCTGCTGCTGCTGCGCGGCTGGTTAGTAGTTTCCTCACTGCGCTGGTGAAGAAAGCTACTCATCATCGACTGCAGACTGAGGCAGCTGCTGCTGCTGGTGGAGCTGCCACTGCACTGCTCCTACCACCCCACCCCTCCCCTGCTGCCATGCATGGGCAGCGGAACGCGAGCGCACAGGGCCCACAGTGTCTGAGGATGGACGTTGGCGCACAAAGGCAGAGACCAACTGACTACATAGGTGGTTTTTTTATAGTACGTTATTTTGGCCTCCCTCTCAGCAGGTGTGAAAAAAAGGCCACCATTTTGGAACGTAGCGAGGGTCCCAACAAGGTGGACAGCCAAAAGTCATCCCTCTGTCTGATGGTTATTATTCGGCTGTCGCGCTACGCAAGCAACCGAGCATGCTATGGGCCATTTGTGCCAAGGGAATGCGAGGGACTCCCTGCCTCCATCTCCATCACAGCATACTGCCACGGTGCGTCTGGGTCCTCTGTCTCTCCTCCTCCTCCTCTACCAGATGCTCCTGCTCCTCCACTCCTGTCCGCTGAGTGGAAAAACCACCCATTTCACTCAATAATTCCTGAGCACAAATGTCCTCCTCTACCTCCTCCTCTTCTTCCTGTCCTGCCCCCACAGGGGTCATGTGGCGTTGAGATCTGTGCGCCACGTCTACCGCACCCTGACCAGCCATTGTTAACAGCATTTGTGTTCAAGGACGTGCAACAGAGGAATGACGTCGTTCATCCCATAGTCCTGCCGACTCACGAATAGCGTGGCCTCCTCAAAGGGCCTGAGCAAGCGGCAGGTGTCACGCATGAGCTGCCAATGGCTGACATCGAAGTTACACAGGGGAGTACCTTTATCCGCTTGTAACATCAGGAAATCGGTGATGGCCTTTCGCTGTTCGTAAAGGCGGTCTAACATGTGTAGGGTTGAATTCCACCTTGTTGCAACGTCGCAGATCAGGCGATGCTGTGGAATTCCGTTCTGCCGCTGCAGCTCAAGGAGGGTGTGCTTTGCGGTGTAGGAATGGCTGAAATGCATGCAAAGTTTACGTGACATTTTAAGGATGTCTTGCAGTGGGATGGTGGATTTTAGGAACCGCTTGACAACCAGATTGAACACGTGAGCCATGCATGGCGCATGGCACAACCTTCCTTGACGCAGAGCAGACACCATGTTCTTTCCGTTGTCGGTCAACATGGTTCCGATTTTCAGTTTGCGCGGAGACAGCCATCTGTCGATTTCTCTGTTCATTACACTCAGAAGTTCCTCCCCTGTGTGACTACGTTCGCCAAGGCATACCAGGTGCAGAACAGCGTGACACCGTTGCGCCCTGCACATGTGATATGCCGGTCGGGTAATGGGACTTGGCACGGGGGTGGCGGCTGGCGGCTGAGGACACGGCGGAAAGAAGAGGTGGTAGAGGCGGACATCTTTGCCGGACCAAGGACGTGCAAACGTGGAGGCAAAAGCGGCGTGACCTGTCCAAGTTGCTGGTGCGGCTGTGACGGCACCACGTTCACCCAGTGGGCCGTAAATGACATGTACTGTCCCTGACCGTAGTTACAGCTCCACACGTCGGCGCTGCCGTGCACACTTTGGCAGAGACCGACATGCTCAAAAGACTGGCCCACCATGTCTTCTACATGTGAATGCAGGGCTGGCACTGCCTTTTTGGCGAAGAAAATGACGGCTTGGCACTCTCCACCGCGGCGCGCGGCACAAGCCATCATTTCTCTGAAAGGTGCTGAGTCCACCACTTGGAAAGGGAGGGACTGCAGCACCAGCAACTTGGACAGGAGGACGTTCAGCTTTTGCACCGTCGGGTGCGTGCTCGCAAAACTGTTGTCTCTTGGAAACGGATTCCAAGAAAGACTGCTGACGGAATCCGTGAAGAGGAGTAGCAGAGAAGGAGCATCTGAACGAGCGGAAGATGCCAACGAGCGACAACTCCCCTCAGCAGAGGTGTTGGAGCCTTGACTGGCTGATGGAGGGCGATTGACGTCGGGTGACGGAGCAAGTAACGGAGCGGGTGTGATGGAGCGGGGGCTGGGGGCGGGGGCGGGCAGAACCGCCGTATCTTTATCACGGTTTTCCCAGGCCACCAAATGGCGACGCTGCATATGCTGCCGCAACGCTGTAGTCCCAACATGGGCCCCCTGGCCACGCTTGACTTTCTGGCCACATAGTCGACATACGGCTACGTTTACTTCCTCGGGCGGCTTGACGAAAAATTGCCACACCGCCGAGTAGGAAACTTTGCCCCCGATACTCCTCACTGGCTGACTGCTGCTTTCCTCCGTGCACACCGGCACCACTACTGGCCGTAGGTGGTGGTAGGCTGCAGTGGAGCTGGTGCTCTACTCCGTGGACCGTTTGTTTGGCTCCACTGACACTGCTGCGACCCTGCTGCTGTCTCCTGGGCAACCCACCGACTGTTTTGCTCGCTGCCAAGCTGCCACCCTCTTCTCCTGATGATGCGGAAGAAATTGCCTGATGACGACGAGGCTGCCAAGTGCGATCAACCTCCTCATCATCAAGTAGGGTCTCCGCCTCACTACTAGCCCCCTCGGCGGCTGCGTCTGGGTCAGGAGACAGACCTGTCTCTAGACCGGCTACCGAGCCACTCTCCTCTCCACTACTTCTCTTCGCCTGGCTGCTGAAAAGGCGGATGTCTCCCCCCGTTCCTGACCGCCCCTCTGTTAGCTCTTCCTCACTGTACAGTGGGGCTGAGCCCACAGCATGCGCGATACTTCGCTT